GGGAGGGGCATAGGCGTGAAAGATAGAGACTGCCGGCGCACCGCTCGACTGAGCGAATATACTGAGTAGCAAGGATTGCCTACTGTGCATCCAACGGGGACTTCGTCCTCTTCACCTGTAACATCACAACAACAAGCAGCAACATCAGTGACTGTGGCCTTTAGTGGTATGAGTATTGATGGTTCTAGCTATGCAAGAGCTGCAGCCGCTCCAAGCTCCAGTTCTTCGTTCGCGTTTACACTTGCTCAACATCAACAGTTTCAATTTCTTCAGCAGCAGCAACAAGCGCAACAACAATTTCAGCAACAACAACAACAATCGCAGCAACAACAGCAACAGCAACAACACTTTCCGCAGCAGCAGATTTCTTTTACTGGACCTGTTTATCAGGCTCCAAAACTTTTAAGCAATGCGCAAATCAAGACAACAATACCTTTTAATAACGCTGACTTCTACTCCTGGAGTTTCGAGTTCGAGATCCTCACAAAATCCGCTGGATTATGGCCGTTCTTCAGTGGCGATTATTCGTATCCTGTTATAGGAACACAAATGGAGCAGCAAAGTTTTCTTCATGCTTCACTCAGCGCTTATACAGTACTTATCAGCAATCTGTCACTGAAAGAGCAACTCGGTATGAGCTCGCTTCACACCAGCTTGACTCCAGCTGAATGTGCATGGAAACATTTGAAGGGGGCTGTATATGGCACAGGACACCATTTCCGCGAGTAAGATTCTCTCACAACTGACAACTGTACAGATGCAGGGCAACGAGAACGTTTCAGATTACATCAACAGGGCTCGTACACTTCGCGGCCAATTTGAAGAATGCGGCGGATACTTCCCAAAGGACATGTTTGTAACAGTTCTTCTTGCCGGCCTTGGAGCAGAATGGCGGCAGTTCGATCTCTTCTTCGCATTCAACCAAATCTTTCCGAAGCCGAAATTTGTTCGATTCTTCAAGCAGAGCAGCAGGACCTTGACCTGCAAACAGCACGTAACAAAAAGGGGACAGTTAATATCAGTTTCTATTCAACGCCTGCAAAACATGTCAACAAGTTCTTCTGTCCCTACTGCAAAAAGTATGGACACAACATTAAATATTGCAACAAGCTTCAAGCTGATAGGAAAAGAGGAGTGCAGCAGCAGTCGCAGCAGTTCAAGCAACCCGTGAAGCAGAATCCACCAACAACAACTCCTGCCACATCTGGAAAACAAGTCTTCAGTTGTATTACAACAGTTCATGCAACAGATTCAGATTTCGACGATGATGAGGAAGAAAGTTCCATCGAGCAACCAGAGAACATGATCTTACCTCAGATTTATGCTAATCTTGCTCGGGTTATTGCAGGACCAAACACTTGATATCTTGACAGTTGTTGTGGTCAACACATGTGCTCTGCCGAGACGCTCTTCATCACTCATCAGCGTCCTCTTCAACGTCCTGTACCTATCACAGTTGCAAATGGACAAACGATAATGGCAAGATCTATTGGCAGCGTCATGCTGGATTCTGTTGACACTGGTTTTTCGTTACACGTTACGGACGTCCTTATCATCGCTGGACTCGGATTTAATATTCTTTCAACGGCTCAACTCCTGCGACATAAGATCAGAACACAAGGCAATTGTGAGACCATGGACGAGGAACTTTACCACAACGATACCAATACTTACATCGGGAGAGCTGCCACTCAGTATGGTGTCTCCGTTCTTCAATTCGAGTCGCAAGGCACTTCTAGAGATTCTCACAGAGTGTTATCTCTTGGACCTTGGCAACATCATGAAGTGACTGAATTTCAAAAGGTTGATATCGATTTTTGGGCAACTACAGTTCCAACGGGATCTCTTAAAGCCGTTGCAGTTATAACGGCTCTTGATTCCTGGTCAACAAACGCAGCCGAAGAAGATACTGTGGCGATATAAATTGCCCGGATGTTTAACACTTTGAAACGTATCGCTATGCCACACATGTTTCGAAAATAGTAACACCCGTTTTTTGCCATTCCGTTACAAGTTTTTCGAGTTCTGCTTCAACCGTTTCTTGCTTGGCGCGATTGTGACACAACTTGAAAGTGGGGTTGAAATTTACTCCTCGACTATCGATGCGGACATTTCCTACCGAGCGGAAGAGTAGATCTATTTTCCCCCGTCACTCAGTGTGTACATCGTCACGCGCACCAGTTGCTGGCTTAGGAGTTAGTCCGGAAGCAAGCCTACGACCGCATCGCCATGAAGCCGTTAAATGAGCGGAAGCGCGCGCGAATCATAAGCATGTTGCGTGCGGGGTATTCGACTAGGAAAATAGGCAAAGTTCTTGGCATAGGCAAGAGCACCGTGCACGATTACAGTTTGAAAGTGGCTGCCGAGACTAGTCTCGAGGAGGTGCGACCTACGATGCCTTCGGCCGGCCGCCCCCGCTTAATCACTACCCGTCTCCAGCGCGGAATAATACGCGCGATTACAAGCGGCGAGGCGAAAAGCTCTGTAGACGCAGCAAATATGTTGTTGGAGAAGCACGATCTCGCCATAGACTCGAAGACAGTCAGGAACTCATTACGATCTGCGGGGCTGATCGCCGTGCATCAGCCCAAGAAACCCAGGCTCTCACCGAAAAACATCCGAGATCGTCTCGACTTCGCGCGGTCGCATGCCGACTGGACGCTGGAGGACAAGAAGCGGGTGATTTGGTGTGACGAGATAAAGATAAACCGCTACTGCTCCGACGGACGTGCGTACGCCTGGTTTCGCGAGGGCACCAGCCTACAAAGCCATCAAGTCCAACAAACAGTTAAGCATGGGGGCGGTTCTGTGATGGTGTGGGGTTGCATGACGTATGAGGGGGCGGGGTTCATGTGCAAGATAGATGGCGGGATGGATGGGCCGCTGTATCGCAGCATCTTGCAAGATGAGCTCAAACAGACCATCGATTTTTTCAAGCTTTCCCCCTCAGAGGTCATTTTCCAGCATGACAATGATCCCAAGCACAGGTCTCGTCTGGTCCAAGACTGGCTTGGGGAGCACGAGTACGCGGTGCTGGAATGGCCGTCGTGCTCCCTGGACCTTAACCCGATTGAGCACCTGTGGGCACACTTGAAAAGGCAGCTGGGGAAGTAGGAAAAGCCGCCAAGTGGAATGCTGGAGCTGTGGGAGAGGGTGCAGGAGGAATGGGATAAGATACCGGTGGAGGTGTGTGCAAACCTGATCAACTGCCTGCCGAGGAGGATCAAGGCAGTGATTCGGGCAAAGGGACGCTGGACTAGCTACTAGTTTTCCTAGAATCTAGTATGCTACCTGTCTTCGGTACAAATTTTCCGGATGTTATCCTATGCTATGCTTAGGTGTTTAAGGACCATGTGTGGTACTACTTTGGTGTTTGGCATCTCGAGTGAGTGCTCTATCTGATCTTCTCAGCGTGTATGCACACCATACATTAAGGCTTAATGTTTACGCCGCTGCACTCATCAAAATGCCAAAAAAGGCTGAACATGTGGAAAATTTATTCCGCCACTGTACATCAGCGTGGCGGAACTAATATGACACTTTACAACAACTCAACAACAAACCTGAAGTACCTTAGGGACCCAGCAGTAGCAGCACTGAAGCAGAGGAAGCAAAACAGCAGAGTAGTAGTGAAGCAAAAACAGGGGTTCTTATCGGTCAACCTGCAGCAGACACAACAGAAACAGAAATTGAAGAAGGAGAATTAGTTCTGCAACCAGAAGAAGTTCTTGACATGGAAAATAAAACCACTAGGTTACCTCTTAACCACTTCGTTCCTGGACAACTCGACGAATCACCAGCGATTTCTCCTTTCATCATTTCTTCATTTTATACCAATGCCGATTTTTATTTGCGATCAACAGGACACAAGGCAACAAGGATATATGGCATCAACCGTTAGGTCATCCGTCTCCGGGAATTCTTAATCATACTATATGATCTTCAGTTCTTGACAAGAACAGTTTACTCTTACCGGATGGAACCGAGATGAAGCCGTCTTCATGACCCGCAGTCTGCACAACATGCACAACTGCTAATCTTCCTCATGAACCTTTTCCATGTCATTTTCCGGGATCGACTCGTTACACCCTTATGCAAAAAGTCTACAGGGACATCCTCAACTTACCTGAAGCATGATCTAAGGGGGAGCTCTATATGATCTCCTTTATCGAGGCTTCTACTCGATATGTTTGGACGGCAGATATTCCGGCTCGTCATATGGCTCACTCTATCTTCGTCGCGTGGCTTGTGGTAGCTGAAAGAGAATCGAGGGAAAGGCTTCAAAAATTTCATAGTGACGGAGCAGGGGAGTATACAAACACCACCTTCATTAAGTATCTTCAAACCCTAAGCATCAAGTGCCGAGGGTCTCTGCCACATCAACATCAACAGATGGGGGTAGCGGAGTGGATGAACAGGACGTTACAAGAAAATATGCGAGTCCTGCTGACTCAGGCAGCATTACCACCACATTTTTGGACTTACGCTTTGGACCATGCAGTTCTTCTGCACAACTTGCTGTCGACAACTTCTCTTCCACAATTTTCTTTGCCACACCTGCAGTGGACAAAAACAGTCGGCAACACCAAACTTTTAAGAGTTTTTGGGTGTATCGTTCAATATCGACCTCCGATTGCAGCACTCGGTAAATTTTCAGAACGGGCTAAGTGGGGAATACATTTTGGCATCGAGAAGCACTTTTATGTGTGGAAAATTATGGATTTTCGCACGAGTCAGAATATCCCAGCACGTGATTGTCTTTTCTATGAACGACTCACCTTACCTGCTTTTTGTGCTCACCAGGCTGCAGCTGCCAATCTTGCCAGACTGTTTGAAGGCTCGCGTGCTTTTGCTACCGACGAGGCCGAAGCAGATGTACATGATGAATCCGTCGCTGAGTCTTCCGAAGCTGCCATAAACATCCTCGTGCCAACCATGTCAGGTAGTCCTGCCAAGTTTATCCCACTCAGTGAAGCAGACTCTGAAGATGCCCGTGACATCATTCTTGATTACAAACGTGATCGTCAGCAACAGCCAATGCCAGTTGTCTCCGAAGCAGCAATCCGTGTAACACCTGAAGAAGTTGGGGGGGAACAGGGGTCAGAACACAACTTCTCCGGTGTGAACTCAAACCGTCCTCGTTTTACAGAAACTGGGTTACAGGTATTGGGACTCGCAATCACAGTACAGTCAAACAGCAGTAAGATTCTGGAGCCGAAAACAGTTCGCCAAGCCTTGACAAGTCAGCACAGGGAAAAATGGCACGAAGCCATGGACCGAGAGTTAGCAGCTCTGGAAAAGAGAGGTACATGGGATCTAATCCCACTGAAGGAAACAAAGGGGAGTAAGGTTCTTATCAGAAAATGGGTTTTTCGTGTGAAGACAAACGCCGATGGTTCCTTTGAAAAAATCAAGGCGGGATGGGTCGTCCGCAGCTTCGAGCAAACTTTTGGACTCGACTACGAGTTAACTTTCGCCCGAGTCGGCAGACACACTAGTGTCCGCATCCTCCTCTGTATCGCGGCCTACCGGAACTTCAGACTTCGCCAAATTGACGTCGCCAATGCATTTCTGTATGCACGTGTCGACGCCTTAATACTGGTTGAGTACCCCCATTCTTACGAAACTAACCCTCCAAGCATATGCCGTCTCAGAAAGTCTCTCTATGGCATTAAACAGGCTCCACGACCATGGCAGCAGTACCTACACCGTCAGTGCCGGATTTCGTCAACATCCACACGACCAAGGAATACTTACCGACGGTCGTGACTACATTCTACTCGTCGCTTATGTCGACGACTTAATTTACATCAGCACCACCGATTCTCTCGCTACTGCCTTCGAACAGAACCTTCAACAAAATCTACAGATCACTATCACCCCTACAGTCACACAGTTTCTCGGCCTTAACATCCACCGAACAGCAACTGCTATTCATCTCACAGCTTCAAAGTACGCAGCCACACTAGCCGCATGCTTTAATCTCACTCCGTCAACTGTAACCACTCCTTACCGATCTCTACCGACGGACTACAAACTCGACACTACTCCACTCGATAACACTGAACTACAGCTTTATCAGCAACAGCTGTGTTGTCTTCTATTCGCAGCGGTAACGTGTCGTCCGGATCTCGCCTATGCCGCTAGCTAGCTCGCGCAATTTCTGTGTTGACATGAGGGGGAGAATTGGCTAGATCTACTTCGACACCCGAAGTCGGACTTACCTATGAAGTCACTACAACGAAAACTCTATATCTTAACGGGTATGTCGATGCTGATCATGCAGCAGATACTTTTGGTCGTCGATCTCGCACCAGCTTCATCTATCGTCTCGAACCTATTGGAACTATTTCGTGGAATTCTACAAAACAAGAGCTCGTAGCTCTATCATCTGCTGAAGCTGAGTTCATAGCTGCTTGCACAGCTACTCGCGAAGGTCTCTATCTACAAGAGCTACTCGAGGAAGCAAAATTGACGACAAGTACACAGTTCACCCTGCAGTGCGACAACCATTGTGCAATCAGAATTTGCGCACCAACCGGTTTCGCCAACAGGACGAAACACATTTCGCTACGATACTTCTTCGTCAAAGATGAAGTTGAGAAGGGGACAGCACAGCGCGACTACGAGCTTCACTCCCTCGACTTCTCTACTGCTTTCCTTCAGGGCAGCCTACACGAGCAGGTCTACCTGCGCCGACCGCCGGGGTTCACTGGTACCTTCCCCCCTGGGACCCAGTGGCTTCTCAGGCGCCCGGTCTACGGTCTGCGTCAGGCTCCGCGTGAGTGGCACGACACGCTGCGGGCCACGTTAGCAGACATGCAGTTCTTTCCGTCGTCCGCTGACCCCTCGCTGTTTGTGCGTTCCGGCCAGACTCCGTTCTACATCCTTGTCTACGTAGACGACCTGGTCTTTGCTACTGCTGACAGGGACGCACTGGCCTCTGTGAAGGCCGAGCTGCTGAAGAGACACACCTGCACTGACCTTGGAGAGCTGCGTCGCTACCTTGGCTTGCAGATCTCTAGGGACAGAGCAGCACGCACCATCACTCTGACACAGTCACACTTGGTGCGCCAGGTCCTTCAGAGGTTCGGTCTTCAGTTCTCCTCTGCACAGCCCACACCTCTACCTGTAGACCACGGGCTTTCCGCTCCTGTTCCTGAGGAACCAGTAGAGCCCAGCGGCCCCTACGCAGAGCTTGTGGGTTGCCTCATGTACCTGATGACCTGCACTCGCCCAGATCTCGCATACCCTCTTAGCATCCTGGCTCGGCTTGTGGCCACTGGCAGACACCGACCACAGCACTGGTCGGCTGCTAAGAGGGTTTTGCGATATCTAGCAAGTACATCAGGCATGGGGTTAGTGTTAGGAGGACGCAGGCCAGTGGTCCTCACTGGGCACACAGACGCTTCTTGGGCAGACAACTCTGAGACGCTCAGGTCGTCGCAGGGCTACTGTTGTAGCCTTGGTTCGGGTGCTATCTCTTGGAGATCCACTCGCTCGTCGTCTGTTGCTCAGTCGAGCTGTGAGGCTGAGATCTACGCTGGTGCCATGTTGGCACAGGAGCTCCGCTGGCTGACCTTCTTGCTCGCAGACTTAGGTGAGCGGCCTAGCTCTGCCCCGGTCCTGTACGCTGACAACAGGGCCATGATACTCCTGTGTCAGGAGCCTCGACTTGAGGGCAGAGCGAAGCACATCCAGCTGCGGTACTTCCTCCTGCGCGAGCTACAGCAGCGCCGCCAGGCCCGCGTAGTTCACTTGGCCTCTGGTGCCAACACAGTTGATATCTTTACGAAGGCGCTTGCGCCTAAAGATCATCAGCGGCACTGTGTACAGCTCGGTCTAGTTCCTGTAGCCACTCATTTGCTAGTACCTTGACGTTGTACTGTCCTATATATATCTATATATATATGTACTCAGACTGGACTTGTGTCTTCTCCCAATGGCAGGACTAGTAGTGCCGCCCTGGTCTTGTTCTTGTCTTGTCTGTACCCCATTTTGACTGGTCCTTAGATCCTTGTCTCAGTGGCTGCACCTGCATGCACACGGGTATGAGTGGCATGGACGGGCGGAACAGCTAGGCGGGATTGGGGAGCGGGGATTGGGGGGAGATGCGGTGAAGGGCTCAGCGGAAATGAGGGTAATGCACATGCGATGGTGGTGTTGGGAGGGAGGGGTGGGGGGCGGATGAGATAAAGCAATACGCGATAGGGTTTCGGCCAGGGTCGAGACCGGCATCGTTTAGGACTAGACGGGTTTAGAGGGCTCACTTCATGGAATCATGAACACCAGCACCTCCCACAGGAGCGTTGGGGAGGCGGATGGGGAGTTGGGATGGTTAAGCACTTACCCAGACAGTGCGCGTCGTGATCTTGGCGAGGTCCATCTTGTTTGCCATCTCTCGCATTGCCTCCATGCCAGCAGTACATATGTAGGACATGAAAACGGTGTCCAGCTTGTCCCCCACCACCATGTGCCTGCAGGTCTTCGTCATGACCCTCTTGCCAAGGAAGGCCGCCTGTAGGGGACGGTGTCGGGTACACGGGGTGGTTAGGGCGTTTGGGAGGGTCGGGGTGGGTTTAGGGACAACCCGGAGGGGAAGGGGCGGATGGGAGTGGGGAAGGGGGAATCCAATGAGGTGATAAGGCAGACAAGAGAGGGGTAGGGTGAATGCATGGAAGAAGGATGGCGGGTGGGAGAGGGGAGGGCTGATTTCAAGGATGGGGGATAAAGTATGGGGATGGGGGAGTGTGCTGTCAGGGAGTGGGGAAGGGAGATGCCAGGGAGGGGTAACAGCAGGGGGGGTGGGTGAAACCCAAGGGGGTGGAGGGCGGATGGGGTTGGGGGAGGGGGAGTTCGGGGAGGAGAGCGGTTGAATTGGAGTGGGAAAGTGTGCTCTCAGGGATTGGGAATGGGGATACGTGCTGTGGAGGGTGCGGACAGAGTTGCCGATGGCCAAATCGGATTGGGGGAGGGTGAAATCAAGGACGGAGAGAGGCAGATGTGAGTGTGCACGAATGTGAAACACTACTGAATGCAATGGAGATAGCCCCAACGGTGGGGTGGAGGAGTGGGGGCAAGGGGGGGGAGGGGGGAGGGAGGGAAGGGGGGGGGGGGGAGGGAGGGAAGGCGGGGGGAGGGGGGGAACAGGGGGTACGGGAGAAGGGGGCATACCTGCTTCATTGCCGTCTCATAGGTGGCGTCGCCTCCCACCTCTCTTGTCAGTTGCCGCACGACCGCATGCTGAATGTGCTTTTTCACAATCATCTGGTCGACATTCTTCCAGTTCGAGCCCCGGGACGGCCGCTTGACAGTGGTCTTGTGGACGTGCTCGTCAGCTTCACTAGCGACTCGTCGGTGTAGTACTCCGCACGGATGTGCTCCTTGTACCACGTCACCATGCGCACGACCGCCTCCCGCTGTGGCTCCTGCTTGTCGAGGATGAGGATGAGGGGGAGCACTTGCATCATTGCACGGTGCTCAGACGCCGCGAACCCGGCGGTCGTGGAAAAATACATCCACCCGCCGGGCAGACGCAGAAGGAAGGACGACGTCACTGCCTTGATAGCGGAGTATCGGCTGGGGGGAGGGGGGAGCACAAGCAAAGTTTGGGTGGAGGGCGAAAGACAAGAGAGGCAGGGGACATGTGCAAGGACGTCACGGACTACAAGGACCACTATGAGATGGAGAAGATAAAAGGCAACACACAGTGTGTGAAGTAGCAACTCACCTGAGCAGGATGCCGCGCTCTGTTGGAGTGAGCTTAGCGACCAGGCACTTCATGACATGCAGCCACCATCCTTGCTCTATCAGACCGGAGAGGCCCTGGAGAGGCCCCGGAGTCAGCAGACTCCTCCGCTAGGCCAACCGAAGGAAGGGGAGTAACGTGCGACACACCAGATGGGGCAAGACGGGGAGCAGGATCTACCGGGGGAGTAAGAGCAAGAAACAGGGGTGGGGTAACCAGAAGACCTCGGTAGGCAAAGCTTGTGTAGAAGGAGACGACTCATCAAAGGCGACGTCACATGAATGAAAGAACCGGTAAGCGGGTGGTAAAAGTGCCAGTCAGCACGTCAAGGGGGAAACCAAGGAAGCCACAAGGGACATTGCGGGTAGTAAGCTTGTCCGCGCAAGAATCGCAAACGTGAGCGAGGCAGCCCCAGACGTGAAATGCAAACGTGTTACCAGGGGAATCCGGTCCAGAGGAGGGTCGGCGAAACCTGCGGCTGCTGGGAGCGTGGCCACAGATCAAGCTGGTGAGCGGTGTAGCGAACTGCAAAGGGCCACAGAAAATGGGGTGCACTAGCTTGGTTCATGGAGGTATGAGCCACCTCCATAACCAATGCGTCGCTCAGCGACCGCATTCTGTTGTGGGGAGTCCGACAGGGTGTACGTCTAGGTGATGCTCTCCGCATGACATAACTGGCCAAGGTGACCAGAGGCGAACTCACCGCCACGGTCGGAGTGAAGACGCAGCACTGGGTGGTCGCGTTGTACTTGCTCATCGACAAGCCACGGGATAAGAACGTCAGGCACGTCGACCTTCCGCTCCAGGGGGAACACCGTGGTATAGCGCGACTAGTCATCTACGAGAACAAAAAAGTAGCGCTCGCGACGCGGCCCAGGGATGGGGGCTGGGCCCAAGACGTCCAAGTGCAGAGTCTGGAGTGGCGCAATGGTGGGGGGAAATGAGGAGGAGTGAGGAGCACGGGCAGCTGACCCTCGACGCAAGGCATGCACGGAGGTGCAAGCGAGGGAGGGAGGGCAAGGAGCGATGCAGGGAGACATAAGACAAGACTGTGGTGGGACATGTGACGTAGACGCGGGAGAGCGGGGTGACCTAGGCGGTGGTGCCACTGAAGGGATGGGTGATGAGCGACCGACACGAGCAAGCCGTAGCAACCTGGATAGACGTAGCCACCTGGGGGGACACAGGCAATGGGGGGGCACGTTGTCCATCGTGAACAGGCCAGACTCCGGGTCTCGGGGGAACGTGGTGAGGGGGGCACAAGTGGCAGCCTCAGTACAGACCGCGTACCACTCATGTCCAATGGACGTGGTGGTGACGTCGAGGTCCTGAAGACAGCCGACACCAATCAGGTTTTTGTAGAACGAGGGGATGTGAAGACCTGTAGAGAGCCTGAGGGACAAGCGAGGTGGAGCTACAGGCAACTACCGTACCGGACGAGGGGTCAGCAAAGGCGAATGCTGCAGGGGAAGAAAGCGGCGTGAGAGTAGTGTGGTCGCGAAAGAAGCAAGCAGGCGTACCGGAGTCAAGCGTGAAGGAGAGCGCGGCGGTAGCGTCACTCGGCGGTGGCACTAGCGTGGAGCCAAGGCTAAACAAGGCAGGAGGTCCCACGCCTTACGCAGCAGGGGAGCCTAGACTACATACAGCAGACACACCTAGGCTAGGCAACACAGGGTAATAAGTTCTAGTCATACTAGATTCATCAGCATACATGGCATACAAAGCAGAACGAATCTTATCCATATGTAACTCAAAGTTTGGCACACGACAGCATACCAGGTTGTGCCAGGGCGGGCCCGAAACAGAGACGGAAGATGTCGTCGAAACGACGGTAGTCGCGGGCGGCGATGTGACTGAGACGGTCACACACGGTGCTGCAACGGGGACTGGTTTGAAGCTAGTACTGGCAACTCACCGCACTAGAGCCACCACCCAACGCTGAGCTACAAGGGCCGCCTGCGCGGCCACCACCACCAAAGCCGCCCGGCGACCATGGCGGCGGAGCCCCCCACTGCTGCTGCTGCTGCCGTGGCGGTTGTTGCTGCTGCGGCTGCTGTTGTGACTGCTCCTGCTGCTGCTCTGGGGGCGGCGGCCCCCACCCCCTCGTCTCCGCTCCCAACACTTCCGTCACTGCCACCTCCCCCGCCACGCCCACCAACCCCAGTACCCTTCCCTCCCTTACGCCCCCCCTTGGGGCGTCGGGGGGCTCTACTCGGACGCGGCTACGCTGAGGCTGCTGCGACGGTCTCAGTGGCAGGGACTGTCTCAGTCATAGCAGCGGAAACGCCAGAAAAAGAGCGGCAGGCGTGGGGGTGTCAAGGAGGACAGCAGGTGTGGGGAGGCAGGGCAGCTTACCGTCGACGTGGACGGTTAGGGACTGGCCATCCTGGCACTGACCCTTCAGTTGGCGGCGCAAGTCGGCGAGCCACGCCTAAAATTCGATAGCCCGGCCCTCCGCGTCCAGGCAGAGAACAACGTCTGCCATAGCACACAGCTGTAGCAGCTGGAGAGCTCAGGCGGAGGAGTGTGGTAGCTAAGGAGCTCAGGCGGAGGAGCAGGGAGCAGACAAGTGTGGTGGAGCACGACGGAGTGTGGTGGAGAGCGGTGGAGTGCGGTAGAGTACGGTGGTGTGCAATCGAGGGCGGTTGAGTGCGGTGGAGTGCGGTAATGCCTCAAGAGAGGAGACAACCGGCAGGAGTGCCGGCGCCGAGGGGGACCAGGGCCTGCGGCGTGTAGGGGCCGGCGAAAGGAGCTAGGGCAGCGCGGCAAGCTGGGGTCGGCAGCTGGCTAGGGCGGCGCGGCAAGCTGGGGCCGGCGACGAGCTGGGGCGGCGTGGTGAGCCAAGGCTAGCGACAAGCTGGGGCTGGCGGCGAGCCGAGGGCGCGCGGCGAGCTGGGGCCGGCGGCAAGCAGGAGCCGACGGCAAGCAGGAGCCGGCGGCAAGCTGGAGCCGCGAGCCGTGCTGGGGCCGGCGGCGAGATGAAGGCCAGCGGCGCGCTGGAGGCAGGCGGAGAGCTGGGGCCTGCGCCGAATCGGGGCCGGCGGCGAGTTGGGGCCTGCAGCGAGCTGGGGCCTGCAGCGATCGGAGGCCGGCGGCGAGCTGGGGCCAGCGGCGAACTAGGGCCGGCGGCGAGCTGGGGCTGGCACGACGAGCTGGGGCTGTCGCAGCGAGCTGGGGCAGGCAACGAGCTAGGGCCGGCGCGGCAGCTAGGGGCCAGCATGACAACGCGGCGAGCTGGGGGCCTACGCAGCGCGGCAGGCTAGGGCCAGCGCGGCAGGCTAGAGACCAGCGTGGCAGGATAGGGCCAGCGCGGCAGGATAGGGCGGCGCGGCGGGCTAGGGCATGCGCGGTGGGCTAGGGGCGGGGAGCTCTACGGTAGGCTAGGGCGGGGCGCTCTACGGGAGGCTAGGGCGGAAGCGCGGGTGGGTGGGACCTACGTAGCATGATACCATCTCAGAGTAGCAAAATTGGACTCAAGCAAGGGCATACAGGGTGTTATAGGGTTTGGTGTTGTACTCTCTAAGAGCACATACCCTTCTAGCCTAAAACTATACATGTACTACAAATGTATAAGTTGACAATTTCGCCCTCACCACCTCCTCAACTTCCGCTGCAATGACCTGGCTCCCGCAACCGCCTCTGCCCAGCATGGGAACACTCCCTCGTCCTAGTTATGTAACACCTTATTATGGAATCACGTACAGTTATCATGCCTGTGCACCAGTAGCCCTTGTCAATCTACCTGGCCACTTGCCAGCGAGTCAGATGCACTTGTAGCCCTGGCAGCTGCGAACGAACGGAATGCAGATGCGCCCAGGGCAGGAGTTGCGCGAGCACAGGCGGCGCTTTTTCTTGCACTCTGGAGGGGCGCGTGCTACTGGCAGGGCAAGTGTGGAGGAGAGGGGGGGGTGATGGAAGTGACCAAGGAGCTGTATGAGTGCATGTGTTTGGCAGTGGCATGAGGGGGGCATCTAGTCCCCGACTAGCGCATTACTTGTCAGACCAATACAGCATCAAACTTCAGATCACCCTCTAGATCCTTGCATTAAAACACACATCCACATGCACACACGCACACACACACATACACACACACACACACATACACACCCACACAACACACACACACACACACACACACACACACACCACACACACACACACACACACACACACACACACACACACACACACACACACACACACACACACACACAACACACACACACACACACACACACCACACACACACACACAACACACACACACACACACACACCACACACACACACACACACACACACACACACACACACACACACACACACACACACACACACACACACACACCACACACACACACACACACACACACACACACACACACACACACACACACACACACACACACACACACACACACACACACACACACACACACACACACACACACACACACACACACACACACACACACACACACACACACACACACACACACACACACACACACCACACACAACACACACACACACACACACACACACACACACACACACACACACACACACACACACACACACACACACACACACACACACACACACAGAAGCACCCCGCACACGCACCCACAGTCACACGCACATGCACAGGCGCAGGCACACGCACACGCACACGCACACGCACACACACACACACAGGAGTGGAGGGTGGGGGGTGGTGAGGAGCGAATGCAAGGGGAGCACTGGAGCGAGTGATCTTGAGGACACACACACACACACACATGATGCGGGCATGTGGCTCCAAGCAAGAGCACACACACAGCGGCATGCACGGTGCGGTCGCACGTTATTATTATTCCCCGGTCTTGTGTTGCCTAACAGCACTCCTCTGCACACTCCCCTTCACTCCTCCCAACTGGCTTCCCTTCCCACACACACCCCTTCCAGATGCTTCCCCTGCCGCACCCTCCTTCTCACCCTTGGTGCACGTGTCGCAGAAGTTCGTGCAGGCGCGGCAGAAGGCTGTGCCTGAGTACTGCACCACCTCGCACCGCCCAGCACCGCACGGCGTCGCAGTGGGGTGCACATAGCTGCGAGGGGGAGAAGGTACAAGTGGGAGGAAGGCGTGGGGAGGTGGAAGGGGGGGAGGGGTATGCCAGAGTTGTATGACCGTGCAACAAGTAGCGGGAGGAAGTGATGATTACATGCCGTCGAAGAGGAGGAGCGGCGGAGGTTCGGTGCGGCTTGATGGTGAGGGAAGAATGTGAACGGTGGGAGGATTTCAGGCAAGATGTGAAATGGAGATGCTGGGAAAAAGGGGGGGGAGAGATTTACAGGTACTGCAGATTGAGCATGGAGCCCATGGTAGGAGGGATAGTGCCAGAGAGAGTTGAAATATGAAGGTAACTGTTGACCATGGATGGTGATGCATGGTGGCGTGTGGAATGATGCATGGTGGCATGCACAGCAACAATGCAGCAATAAAAAGGAGATCGTGAAAGGCAGGGGGAAGCGGGAAGATGCATGGAGTCTGAGAAGCGGAAGGAGAAGTAATGGCCGAATCCCGACAACCTGCCCGAGCGCTGAGCAGTTTGCAAAAGGCTTACAAGCAGCCCGAGAGAGAGCAACAAAGGCCATTGCGCATGCAAATCTCGTATCGAAGAGAAATGCTGCCCAACACTGCCGCACAATCACCTACCACTCAGAAGACTTAGTTTTACTCGACAAGCAAACCCAGATCCCTAAACCCTGACTTCGACTGCCCATCATACTAGAATTACGTCGACGAGGAAGATGAAGTAATGGGCGAATCAGTCAGATGATGTGGATGCAAGTCAGGTGTGAAGGAAAACAGTGGGGTGGATAGACACCTAGGACTGACGTCGATGCTCAAGCCAAAGCGCCGGAGAGATGGCATTCCACAAACAACGGCATGGGATGGTATTGCATGTTACATTGACGTGGCCAATGCATATTACAGCCGAAATAAGAAGGAACAAAATATTACAAGCGAATAAACTACCGGCAACAGAACATTACAGGCGGGATAAGCGTTGCATTTTGGAGATGGCGGTGGGAATAGTGCCTGCCAGGAATGTGGAACTGAGGTCACTGGAGGAAAAGAGAAAGGGGGTGAGAGAGGGGGGGGAGGGGGGAGGCAGATGAGATGATTAATCCCCCTCTTGTGTTTCACTGTCTGCAGGACCATTCTTTCAATCTAGGCGCAATGAAATGCCCTTGAAGTCGGTTCCCAACAACCCCGGGGCAGTCTGCTTCAGGTTGCCCATTGCCTGTGGCACTCTCTCACTTCAAGTGCTCAGCTCTAGAGGTCAAGTCAAGTGGTCAAGTCAAGTGGTCAACTCAGGTGAAACGCACGCACAGGTATGTGAGCGACTGAAGAGAGCTTATGGATGCAGGGATGCTGCCAGTGAAGTTGTTGCGGCTCAGCTTCCTGCACACATGGGACGGGGCCAGGAACAGGGTGAGGTGAGGTGAGGTGAGGAGGAGGAGGCGGGTTCTAGAATCGCCTCACAATGCAGATGAGAGGGAGACGGGGAGCTCGAGCGATGTGCACAGCACAGGGCCCCCATGGTGCAGTATGCTGTGAACCAGTGCTGACTGACGAGCTCATCAGGAGACGAGAGGAAAGGGACAAGGAAATGGCACGCCCAAGGCTACAAATTCACCGAATTTGTTCCCAGAGGTGCGCTAATACTCTGGCGGATTCACAGACATAAACACATGTGCAAAAATCTCAAGCATTCGGACCTTACCCCCTCGTTTCTGCCAGAGTTACTACCTTTGCGTCGACTCAAAAACTGCCAGTGGTACTACCTGTAAAGGAGAATACCAGGAAGGTAGGCTAGAGTTCTTATGTGCCTTCATGCGCCTCTCGTGGTTCTAAACTAGTCCCTGCTCGCCCCAAGCATATCTCCTCCTACCGCTGCTGCTCATCCAGTGTCTTTGTCCCAGGAACTGCCAGTCGCTGTTCGCCCTCCGTATGCCTCATACACATGCAAGAAGCTTTGTCGCACGTAATAAGATGCACTCAGCTGCTGACATGCGCTCAGCTACTCACATGTACTCAGCACGCTTCATCTTTGTGAAGGCAGGTGGAAGGGCCTCAGAAGACTTATTATTGTGCAGATCTCTGCGGTTAGGGAGGGGGAGGGAGAGGTGAGAGAGAAGGGCGGGCATCGAGAACACAGCCACGCGTATGGGCAAGCACTGAAGTCCAACCGAAGCACCGAAATTGTGATACCCCTGGGGCCCTCAGCCTTTACCTCCTCCATTTTTCGCCCCCCTCCCTTTTCCGGGCCCCCCTCTTTTACACAGCTGTCAACACACGCACCCCACCCTCACACACCCACCCACCCACACACTCTCCCGCTTCTCACTCCCTGCCGCACCTCACAGATGCTCCCACGTGCCCATCCAGGCAAGCAGTAGCCAGAAACGGGTGCTTTTGAGCCACCAGCAAGGCTTGCTCAGTCGCAGAGCACCATACCGTAGCGACCACGTGGGGTGAGCCGCTCATCCCTATCGCAGGCCGCAGTCAGCCGCGATCATATAAACAAACCACAGCTTATACCGTACCATAGAGTAGGGTTGAGCAAACTACCCGCCCGGGTCAGGTACCTGGTACCCAGACCCGCTTTTAGGGCGGGTCGGGTATCGGAAATCCTGAAAATTACCCGCCGGGTCGGGTCCGGGTTACCCGGGCCGGGTATCAATACCCGCTACCCGGAATGCTACCCGACGTGTCGGGTAACGGGTACCCGATCCGGTCGGGTAAAAAATTACCCGAGGTCGGGTATTCCACCTAGACATGGGCGTAAGTCGCGCTGTGTTTTAGGTTTTGCGGCAAAACAGTTTTGGAGGTGAGGGGGGACGAGTGGAGCCCTACCTAGCCTAGCCCTACCTAGCCTAGCCCAACTTTAGGATGTCCACTAGTAGGTGGCGGGTAAAATTACCCGCTTTTCAGGGGGTCCGGGTCGGGTATACCCGGACCCGCCAGGCGGGTATTATAATACCCGCCTAAAAAAACCGGGTCCGGGTAAGGGTCCTGGGCATATTACCCGACCCGGACCCGACCCGAAATTACCCGACCCGAGGTCGGGTATGGCAAAACCGGGTCGGGTCGGGTAATTACCCGGTTTTGCTCATGCCTACCATAGAGCATGCACGCTGCCTCACATGTGCTTCAACGGCCTCAGTGCTCACAAGCATGGGGGAATTCACAGCACCAACAGCCACGTGCCTGCTCTTGAGTCAACTCTGGAGAAGATGCTCTGGAGAATCTCTCACGGGATTTCTCCCATTCCCAAAAATTGTTGCCCCAGTCGAAAAATTGCTGCCTGGCTGGCATTGAGAGTCCAGGTCTCACATGAACTTCAAAGCATTCAGTGCACTCAAGCTTCAGGGAAGGGTGAGAGATATTTTCCTACTCCCGAAGTTGTTTCCTCCCTAGCATAGAGTCCTGGTCTCACATGAGCTTCAAGGCAGTCAGTGCACTCAAGCCTTGGGGAACGGGTGACTCCAATTTGTTTTGGTAGAGCATGCTGGCAGCGGGGGAAAGAGGGGGGAAGCAAGGGAGGGAGGGAGGGTGTAGGATGAGAAAGAAGGGGCACATACGAGAGGGCGGCACACACAGAGAGGGCAGCACATACAGAGAGGTAAGGTGGATGAGGCCGGAGATGGTGGAGGGGATAATGCCGGTGAGCATGTTGTTGGAAACATCCCTGATGGGCGGCAGATAGAAGCAAGTAAGAGGAAAGCTCTTCAGAGCTCTTGGAAAACTGGCAGCAACTCGCAGCTTCTGAACATCCCTCTAAACAATGAGCAATCTTTCAACTTTCAGCAGCAACTGCTGAAGAAGCGCGATCTCGCTCTTCTTGCATCTGCTGCAGCGGCAGCATATTGCACGGCACACACATTGCAGTTGCAGAAGACGCTTTTCATTTGCATTTGAATTTGCAGTTGCAGTTGCAGTTTCGCTCATCACATAAGGCCACGTTCCCTCACATCTCTCACACACAATGCTTCATAGCAAGGTGCAACGTAGCGAGGTGGCTATTGAGTCAAAGGTCAAATCAAAGGTCAAAATGTTCCATATGAGCAGGAGAGCGGCGTCGCTCACAGGGTCTGGAGGCTGAAGAGCTCCCCAATGGTTGTGGGGATCGAACCGGATATGGCATTGCAGGATAGCAGCCTGCACAGCGTGCAGTGCGGATGTGTGCGGTGGAATGGGGGAGGGTGGTGGGTTGGGGGGGGAGGGAGTGTTGGGGGTGTTGGGGGGAGGAGGAGAAGGGCGGAAAGTGGGGGGGGAAGACGGGGGCAAAGGGTATTAGAGGGGGGGTGTGACAGGCATTGGGAAGGGAAGAGAACACGGGGGGGACTAGATGGGGCAAGGGTAGGAAGGGATGGGGAGACTGACAAGTGGAACAAGTGTGTGAGGGTGTGAGGTTCCGTTTGAGCAGTGGGTGGGGAGGGCACGGTGGGGAGGGGAGGGCATGGTGGGTGGGGAGGACAGACAGGGATGTGAAGGAGAGGAAGGTGGGAAAAGGAATGGTAGAGTGACGGGAGACAGGAAGAGGGGAGGAGCAGAGGTGGGTCGGAGAGTTGGAGTTGATTCACGCACAGTCCGACAAGATTGCCCAGTGGGATGAGGTCGTCAAGGTCGGCAGTGAGAGCGTTGTAGGAGAGGGAGCTGGAGGACGGATGGGGCGGAGGGGGTCATGGTGAAGAGAGAGAGAGATATATGTGTATCATAGGAAGGTTGATGGGCTGATTAATGCATGGTGCCATAACTTGAGGCCTGAACCGAAGGCTAACGAAAAAGATGTGGCTGGGATTCAGTTGGTGCGTGCGGTGCGGGAGGAAAGGAGAATGAAGGGGACTAGGAATGCGCACAGCCGCGCACATGCTTGCAGGTGCTGACGCATCTGCAGAACAGAAGCAAGAGCAGGAGCAAGGCAAAGGACGCCAGCGCATGAAATGGCCACATGGCTGCAGAATGTGCTGCTGTATATTAATCACATACAGCCATGAGAGCTGCTCCAGCTGCCCAATGGTGCTCGGTATGGACCCATGAAGCTGGTTGTTATACAGATTGCTGGAGGCGTGGGGTGGAACGGGATGTGATTGGATGGGATGGGATGGGATGGGATGGGATGGGATGGGATGGGATGGGATGGGATGGGATGGGATGGGATGGGATGGCATGGCATGGGATGGGATGGCATGGGATGGGATGGGATGGCAGGGGATGGGATGGGATGGCATGGCATGGGATGGGATGGGATGGGATGGGATGGGATGGGATGGGATGGGATGGGATGGGATGGGATGGGATGGGATGGGATGGGATGGGATGGGATGGCATGGCATGGGATGGGATGGCATGGGATGGCATGGGATGGGATGGGATGGGATGGGATGGGTTGGGATGGGATGGGATGGGATGTCATGGCATGGGATGGGATGGCATGGGATGGGATGGGATGGCATGGCATGGGATGGGATGGCATGGGATGGGATGGGATGGCAGGGGATGGGATGGGATGGGATGGCATGGGATGGGATGGGATGGGATGGGATGGGATGGGATGGGATGGGATGGGATGGGATGGGATGGGATGGGATGGGATGGGATGGGATGGGATGGGATGGGATGGGATGGGATGGGATGGGATGGGATGGGATGGGATGGGATGGGATGGCATGGCATGGCATGGCATGGGATGGCATGGGATGGCATGGGATGGGATGGGATGGGATGGGATGGGATGGGATGGGATGGGATGGGATGGGATGGGATGGGATGGGATGGGATGGGATGGGATGGGATGGGATGGGATGGGATGGGATGGGATGGGATGGGATGGGAATGGCATGGCATGGCATGGGATGGGATGGCATGGGATGGCATGGGATGGGATGGGATGGGATGGGATGGGATGGGATGGGATGGGATGGGATGGGATGGGATGGGATGGGATGGGATGGGATGGGATGGGATGGGATGGGATGGGATGGCATGGCATGGCATGGGATGGGATGGCATGGGATGGCATGGGATGGGATGGGATGGGATGGGATGGGATGGGATGGGATGGGATGGGATGGGATGGGATGGGATGGGATGGGATGGGATGGGATGGGATGGGATGGGATGGGATGGGATGGGATGGGATGGGATGGGATGGGATGGGATGGCATGGCATGGCATGGGATGGGATGGCATGGGATGGCATGGGATGGGATGGGATGGGATGGGATGGGATGGGATGGGATGGGATGGGATGGGATGGGATGGGATGGGATGGGATGGGATGGGATGGGATGGGATGGGATGGGATGGGATGGGATGATGGCAAGGGGGTAGAGTTGGGCGACGGCATGGCTAGAGCAAGCATTGGGCAATGGAATGAGGGTGATGAGGAATTTTGAGATTTTTTTTTGGACACCCACATCGAATGAGGGTCATGAGGAGGGGTGAGATGGCAGCTGTTTAAAGCCCGAGTCCCAAATTGCGTGCCGCGTGGTTCAAGCTTTAGAAACTTGAAACCCCACGTTTTGTGGGTGTCTTTTTCACGAAACTGGGGTTACGCACACTGCGAAGGCAGCTGATTGGTTCAAACTTTGACTGGGGAGGTATGGGTGGGTTGGCCTGCGGGAACTTGAAAATGGGGTCATTGCAATTTGGGACTCTTGCAAGTTGCAACTCAGCCGAGCTCCTGCCCCCTGTGGACTGCTGACTCAGCAGAAAAAAAACTCTCGCTAGAAATCTCACGAAACCAAACCTCTCGTCACTCCAAACCCAACTACCTGGGTCTTGTCATGTTTCTAAAGCATGAACGATTTGGGCCGCGGGTTTTAACCCCTCTGCACCCACTACCCTCTGTTCCCACCCAATACCCTCCCCTCCCTCACATCCTTCGAAGGTTGGTCAAGGCACCAATAGACATAGGCATCACTCTGGTCAGCCAGTTGTCTGAAAGTGAACTGGAAGCAAGGAGTGGTGTGAGTGGTGGACGGGGGGGGGGGAGGGGAGATGGAGAGTTGGAGAGATGGAAATCGGCAGAAAGCGATGGGGAGGTGTGAGTGAAGAGAGAGTGTGCGTGTGGGGTGTGGCAGGGAGATGGAGATGCGGGGAACTTGACACGCAAGCAAGCGACTGAAAGGGGAAGCAACAGCTGAACACTCTTGCAGGAACTCTGACACTCACAGCACTTCTAGAGCAACACAGTTGCCGATAAAAGCAGGGATGGAGCCGGAGAGCAGGTTGGAGTTGAGGTACCTGATGGGATGAGGGGCGGAGACTGACAGTTGAGTGAGAGCGGAGATTGACAGCTGTGTGAGAGGGGAGACTGAGAGTTGAGTGAGAGGGGAGACTGAGAGTTGAGTGAGAGGGGAGACTGGAAGTTGAGTGAGAGGCGAGACTGACAGCTGAGTGAGAGGGGAGACTGAGAGTTGAGTGAGAGGGGAGACTGACACTTGAGTGAAAGGGGAGACTGAGAGTTGAGTGAGAGGGGAGACTGGCAGTTGAGCAAGAAGGGAGACCGACAGCTGTGTGAGAGGGGAGACTGACAGTTGAGTAAGAGGGGAGACTGAGAGTTGAGTGAGAGGCGAGACTGACAGCTGAGTGAGAGGGGAGACTGAGAGTTGAGTGAGAGGGGAGACTGACAGTTGAGTGAGAGGGGCGACTGAGATTTGAGTGAGAGGGGAGACTGACAGTTGAGTGAGAGGGGAGACTGAGTGTTGAGTGAGAGCGGAGACTGACAGCTGAGTGACAGGGGAGACTGAGAGTTGAGTGAGAGGGAAGACTGGCAGTTGAGAGAGAGGGGAGACTGACTGCTGAGTGAGAGGGGAGACTGAGTGTTGAGTGAGAGCGGAGACTGACAGCTGAGTGACAGGGGAGACCGACAGCTGTGTGAGAGGGGAGACTGACAGTTGAGTTAGAGCGGAGATTGACAGCTGTGTGAGAGGGGAGACTGAGAGTTGAGTGAGAGGGGAGACTGACAGTTGAGTGAGAGGGGAGACTGAGAGTTGAGTGAGAGGCGAGACTGACAGCTGAGTGAGAGGGGAGACTGACAGTTGAGTGAGAGGGGAGACTGACAGTTGAGTGAGAGGGGAGACTAAGAGTTGAGTGAGAGGCGAGACTGACAGCTGAGTGAGAGGGGAGACTGACAGTTGAGTGAGAGGGGAGACTGACAGTTGAGTGAGAGGGGAGACTGAGTGTTGAGTGAGAGCGGAGACTGACAGCTGAGTGACAGGGGAGACTGAGAGTTGAGTGAGAGGGAAGACTGGCAGTTGAGTGAGAGGGGAGACTGACAGCTGAGTGAGAGGGGAGACTGAGAGTTGAGTGAGAGGGGAGACTGACAGTTGAGTGAGAGGGGAGACTGAGAGTTGAGTGAGAGGGGAGACTTGCAGTTGAGCAAGAAGGGAGACCGACAGCTGTGTGAGAGGGGAGACTGACCGTTGAGTGAGAGGGGAGACTGAGAGTTGAGTGAGAGGCGAGACTGACAGCTGAGTGAGAGGGGAGACTGAGAGTTGAGTGAGAGGGGAGACTGACAGTTGAGTGAGAGGGGAGACTGAGATTTGAGTGAGAGGGGAGACTGACAGTTGAGTGAGAGGGGAAACTGAGTGTTGAGTGAGAGCGGAGATTGACAGCTGTGTGAGAGGGGAGACTGAGAGTTGAGTGAGAGGGGAGACTGAGAGTTGGGTGAGAGGGGAGACTGACAGTTGACTGAGAGGGGAGACTGACAGTTGAGTGAGAGGCGAGACTGAAAGTTGAGTGGGATAGGAGACTGAGAGTTGAGTGAGAGGGGAGACTGACAGTTGAGTGAGAGGGGAAACTGAGAGTTGAGTGAGAGGGAAGACTGGCAGTTGAGGGAGAGGGGAGACTGGCAGTTGAGTGAGAGGCGAGACTGGCAATTGAGTGAGAGGGGAGACTGACAGCTGCGTGAGAGGGGAGACTGACAGTTGAGTGAGAGGGGAGACTGACAGCTGAGTGAGAGGCGAGACTGAGAGTTGAGTGAAAGGGGAGACTGACAGATGAGAGGGAGGGGGGATTGACAGTTGAGTGAGAGGGGAGACTGACAGTTGGGTGAAAGGGGAGACTGACAGTTGAGTGAGAGGGGAGACTGACAGTTGAATGAGAGGGGAGACTGAGAGTTGAGTGAGAGGGGAGACTGACAGTTAAGTGAGAGCGGAGATTGACAGCTGTGTGAGAGGGGAGACTGAGAGTTGAGTGGGAGGGGAGACTGACAGTTGAGTGAGAGGGGAGACTGAGAGTTGAGTGAGAGGCGAGACTGACAGCTGAGTGAGAGGGGAGACTGAGAGTTGAGTGAGAGGGGAGACTGACAGTTGAGTGAGAGGGGAGACTGAGAGTTGAGTGAGAGGGGAGACTTGCAGTTGAGCAAGAAGGGAGACCGACAGCTGTGTGAGAGGGGAGACTGACCGTTGAGTGAGAGGGGAGACTGAGAGTTGAGTAAGAGGCGAGACTGACAGCTGAGTGAGAGGGGAGACTGAGAGTTGAGTGAGAGGGGAGACTGACAGTTGAGTGAGAGGGAAGACTGAGATTTGAGTGAGAGGGGAGACTGACAGTTGAGTGAGAGGGGAGACTGAGTGTTGAGTGAGAGCGGAGAATGACAGCTGAGTGACAGGGGAGACTGAGAGTTGAGTGAGAGCGGAGATTGACAGCTGTGTGAGAGGGGAGACTGAGAGTTGGGTGAGAGGTGAGACTGACAGTTGACTGAGAGGGGAGACTGACAGTTGAGTGAGAGGCGAGACTGAAAGTTGAGTGGGATAGGAGACTGAGAGTTGAGTGAGAGGGGAGACTGACAGTTGAGTGAGAGGGGAAACTGAGAGTTGAGTGAGAGGGAAGACTGGCAGTTGAGGGAGAGGGGAGACTGGCAGTTGAGTGAGAGGCGAGACTGGCAATTGAGTGAGAGGGGAGACTGACAGCTGCGTCAGAGGGGAGACTGGCAGTTGAGTGAGAGGGGAGACTGACAGCTGAGTGAGAGGCGAGACTGAGAGTTGAGTGAAAGGGGAGACTGACAGATGAGTGGGAGGGGAGATTGACAGTTGAGTGAGAGGGGAGACTGACAGTTGGGTGAAAGGGGAGACTGAGAGTTGAGTGAGAGGGGAGACTGAAAGTTGAGTGAGAGGGGAGACTGACAGTTGAGTGAGAGGGGAGACTGACAGTTGAGTGAGAGGGGAGACTGACAGTTGAGTGAGAGGGGAGACTGACAGTTGAGTGAGAGGGGAGACTGAGTGTTGAGTGAGAGCGGAGACTGACAGCTGAGTGACAGGGGAGACTGAGAGTTGAGTGAGAGGGAAGACTGGCAGTTGAGTGAGAGGGGAGACTGACAGCTGAGTGAGAGGGGAGTCCGACAGCTGCGTGAGAGGGGAGACTGACAGTTGAGTGAGTGTGGAGATTGACAGCTGTGTGAGAAGGGAGACTGAGGGTTGAGTGAGAGGGGAGACTGACAGTTGAGTGAGAGGGGAGACTGAGAGTTGAGTGAGAGGCGAGACTGACAGCTGAGTGAGAGGGGAGACTGAGAGTTGAGTGAGAGGGGAGACTGACAGTTGAGTGAGAGGGGAGACTGAGAGTTGAGTGAGAGGGGAGACTGGCAGTTGAGCGAGAAGGGAGACCGACAGCTGTGTGAGAGGGGAGACTGAGAGTTGAGTGAGAGGGTAGAGTGGCAGTTGAGTGAGAGGGGAGACTAACAGTTGAGTGAGAGCGGAGATTGACAGCTGTGAGAGAGGGGAGACTGAGAGTTGAGTGAGAGGGGAGACTGACAGTTGAGTGAGAGGGGAGACTGAGGGTTGAGTGAGAGGCGAGACTGATAGCTGAGTGAGAGGGGAGACTGAGGGTTGAGTGAGAGGGGAGACTGACAGTTGAGTGAGAGGGGAGACTGAGAGTTGAGTGAGAGGCGAGACTGACAGCTGAGTGAGAGGGGAGACTGAGAGTTGAGTGAGAGGGGAGACTGACAGTTGAGTGAGAGGGGAGACTGAGAGTTGAGTGAGAGGGGAGACTGGCAGTTGAGCGAGAAGGGAGACCGATAGCTGTGTGAGAGGGGAGACTGACAGTTGAGTGAGAGGGGAGACTGACAGTTGAGTGAGAGGGGAGACTGACAGTTGAGTGAGAGGGGAGACTGACAGTTGAGTGAGGGGGGAGACTGAGTGTTGAGTGAGAGCGGAGACTGACAGCTGAGTGACAGGGGAGACTGAGAGTTGAATGAGAGGGAAGACTGGCAGTTGAGTGAGAGGGGAGACTGACAGCTGAGTGAGAGGGGAGACCGACTGCTGCGTGAGAGGGGAGACTGACAGTTGAGTGAGAGCGGAGATTGACAGCTGTGTGAGAGGGGAGACTGAGAGTTGAGTGAGAGGGGAGACTGACAGTTGAGTGAGAGGGGAGACTGAGAGTTGAGTGAGAGGCGAGACTGACAGCTGAGTGAGAGGGGAGACTGAGAGTTGAGTGAGAGGGGAGACTGACAGTTGAGTGAGAGGGGAGACTGACAGTTGAGTGAGAGGGGAGACTGACAGTTGAGTGAGAGCGGAGATTGACAGCTGTGTGAGAGGGGAGACTGAGAGTTGAGTGAGAGGGGAGACTGACCGTTGAGTGAGAGGGGAGACTGAGGGTTGAGTGAGAGGCGAGACTGATAGCTGAGTGAGAGGGGAGACTGAGGGTTGAGTGAGAGGGGAGACTGACAGTTGAGTGAGAGGGGAGACTGAGAGTTGAGTGAGAGGCGAGACTGACAGCTGAGTGAGAGGGGAGACTGAGAGTTGAGTGAGAGCGGAGACTCACAGTTGAGTGAGAGGGGAGACTGAGAGTTGAGTGAGAGGGGAGTCTGGCAGTTGAGCGAGAAGGGAGACCGATAGCTGTGTGAGAGGGGAGACTGACAGTTGAGTGAGAGGGGAGACTGACAGTTGAGTGAGAGGGGAGAATGACAGTTGAGTGAGAGGGGAGACTGACAGTTGAGTGAGGGGGGAGACTGAGTGTTGAGTGAGAGCGGAGACTGACAGCTGAGTGACAGGGGAGACTGAGAGTTGAATGAGAGGGAAGACTGGCAGTTGAGTGAGAGGGGAGACTGACAGCTGAGTGAGAGGGGAGACCGACAGCTGCGTGAGAGGGGAGACTGACAGTTGAGTGAGAGCGGAGATTGACAGCTGTGTGAGAGGGGAGACTGAGAGTTGAGTGAGAGGGGAGACTGACAGTTGAGTGAGAGGGGAGACTGAGAGTTGAGTGAGAGGCGAGACTGACAGCTGAGTGAGAGGGGAGACTGAGAGTTGAGTGAGAGGGGAGACTGACAGTTGAGTGAGAGGGGAGACTGACAGTTGAGTGAGAGCGGAGATTGACAGCTGTGTGAGAGGGGAGACTGAGAGTTGAGTGAGAGGGGAGACTGACCGTTGAGTGAGAGGGGAGACTGAGGGTTGAGTGAGAGGCGAGACTGATAGCTGAGTGAGAGGGGAGACTGAGGGTTGAGTGAGAGGGGAGACTGACAGTTGAGTGAGAGGGGAGACTGAGAGTTGAGTGAGAGGCGAGACTGACAGCTGAGTGAGAGGGGAGACTGAGAGTTGAGTGAGAGCGGAGACTCACAGTTGAGTGAGAGGGGAGACTGAGAGTTGAGTGAGAGGGGAGACTGGCAGTTGAGCGAGAAGGGAGACCGATAGCTGTGTGAGAGGGGAGACTGACAGTTGAGTGAGAGGGGAGACTGGCAGTTGAGTGAGAGGGGAGACTGACAGTTGAGTGAGAGGGGAGACTGACAGTTGAGTGAGAGGGGAGACTGACAGTTGAGTGAGAGGGGAGACTGACATTTGAGTGAGTGCAATGAAGGAGGTGAGGAAGTTGGGGACGGCGCCCACCAAGTGATTGTGGGCCATGGACCTGCGAGAGCAGTTGGCAGCACACGCACAGCACAGGGTGATAGGGACTCAAGGGAGACGCAGAGCGATTCACTGTTGAGATTAGATCATACGCCGGCTGGGGTGCAGAGCGGGGTGGATGGAAGGAGGCATCATGTAATGTTGCAGGCAGGGAAGGGGAGGGAAGGGAAGGGAAGGGGAGGGGAGGGGAGGGGAGGGGAGGGGAGGGGAGGGGAGGGGAGGGGAGGGGAGGGGAATCGAGGTGAGGGAAGGGAAGGTATGCGGAGGGGAAGGGAGGGGAGGGAAGGGAAGGGAAGGGAAGGGAAGGGAAGGGAAGGGGAGGGGAGGGGAGGGGAGGGAAGGGGAGGAGAGGGGAGGGGAGGGGAGGGGAGGGGAGGGGAGGGGAGGGGAGGGAAGGGGAAGGAAGGGAAGGGAAGGGAAGGGAAGGGACGACTGGGAGGAAGGTCTGACAGGTGAATCAGGTTGGTGAGGGCACTCAGGGCGTCAGGAATGGTGCCCGCCACCCAGTTGTAGTCGAGGAACCTGCGCACGGCGGGGGGGGGAAAGGGGAGGGGGGAGGAAAAGTTTAAAGGACGAAGGTTGTGTGTGTACATGTGTGCATGTGTACGTGCAAATGCATAGCTCCTTTAATTCTTGCAGAAACCAGACCAGGGTGAGCGGCAAAAGTACAGGTGAGGGTATGCAATAGGGGGAGCAAGAGGAGCAAGAGGATGAGTAAGAGGAGGAGCAAGAGGAGGAGCAAGAGGAGGAGCAAGAGGAGGAGCAAGAGGAGGAGCAAGAGGAGCAAGAGGAGGAGCAAGAGGAGGAGCAAGAGGAGGAGCAAGAGGAGGAGCAAGAGGAGGAGCAAGAGGAGCAAGAGGAGCAAGAGGAGGAGCAAGAAGCGAGGAGCAAGAGGAGCAAGAGGAGGAGCAAGAGGAGGAGCAAGAGGAGGAGCAAGAGGAGGAGCAAGAGGAGGAGCAAGAGGAGGAGCAAGAGGAGGAGCAAGAGGAGGAGCAAGAGGAGGAGCAAGAGGAGGAGCAAGAGGAGGAGCAAGAGGAGGAGCAAGAGGAGGAGCAAGAGGAGGAGCAAGAGGAGGAGCAAGAGGAGGAGCAAGAGGAGGAGCAAGAGGAGGAGCAAGAGGAGGAGCAAGAGGAGGAGCAAGAGGAGGAGCAAGAGGAGGAGCAAGAGGAGCAAGAGGAGGAGCAAGAGGAGGAGCAAGAGGAGCAAGAGGAGGAGCAAGAGGAGGAGCAGGAGGAGGAGCAAGAGGAGGAGCAAGAGGAGGAGCAAAGGAGGAGCAAGAGGAGGAGCAAGAGGAGGAGCAAGAGGAGGAGCAAGAGGAGGAGCAAGAGGAGGAGCAAGAGGAGGAGCAAGAGGAGGAGCAAGAGGAGGAGCAAGAGGAGGAGCAAGAGGAGGAGCAAGAGGAGGAGCAAGAGGAGGAGCAAGAGGAGGAGCAAGAGGAGGAGCAAGAGGAGGAGCAAGAGGAGGAGCAAGAGGAGGAGCAAGAGGAGGAGCAAGAGGAGGAGACATGAATGGATCCTGCAGGGACTGACAGGGATTGAAGCTCCAGCAGGTGGCCCAACTCCGTGGGAATGCTTTCTGAGAGCTTGTTCTGGGGCAGATAGCTGCACACAGACACACAGCAAGACAAATTCTAAGGCGCCTGAAAAAAGAGTCTGGTATCAAATTTGAGAGTAACATCTGTCTCGTTTTGCTAGATGGAACTATCTTCGAGACCGAAAGTAGTCCGACCCCAGAGCGGTTTAATTCTGGTTCTGATGCCCTTCAATGCATGCGTGCACTTGTCCTTCAACAGCGTTCCCAGTCACTTCAAACCTCAGCTTGCTGCTGTGCAGGTGGCGCTCACAGTTGTTGGAGGGACGTGAGGGCGCCGATGGCCGGCGGAATGGCTCCACTAAGCTGGTTGCTGGACAGGTAGCTGAGGGGGCGACGTGCCGGCGTTGGGAGATGCAGGGACGTGGGGGCATTGCCGCATGGGGGGCATGGTGACGCCAAGGACGTGGGGGCATGAGGAAACGATGGGGCAATGGGGGACGTGGGGGACATGGGGGCAACGATGTGGTGCGAGCGGCCTGAGGCCTGTAGCATGAGGCCTGAGGCCTGTAGCTTGAGGCCTGTAGCGTGAGGCCTGTAGCATAAGGCCTGTAGCATGAGGCCTGTATCATGAGGCCTGTAGCATGAGGCCTGTACCATGAGGCCAGTAGCATGAGACCTGTAGCATGAGGCCTGTAGCTTGAGGCCTGTAGCATGAGGCCTGTAGGATGAGGCCTGTAGCATGAAGCCTGTAGCACGAGGCCAGTAGCATTGAGAGCTGTTTCTCGTGGGAGCAAGGAGTAATACGTGGAGTGATACGTCGAGTGCGACGCGACGCAACGCAAAGTGGAGGAAAACACGGAGACGCCTAAAAAAAGGCAGAAGGTAAGGCATGGGTGGGTGAGAGACGCGAGGGGGGATGAGACGTGAGGGGGTATGAGAAGTGAGGGGGGATAAGACGCGAGGGGAGATGAGCCGTGAGGGGAGGTGAGACATGGGAGCACATGCTTCTGCAGAAACCATGGGTGAGAGAAGCCGACAGTATCGCACGCACAGGCTTGTAAGAGTGGTCATGAGCCAAACGACACGGCACCTGCTCTCTTTCCAAATTCTACCCACCCCTAGCACCCTAGCACTATACGCGGCGTCCAATTGGCCTGCTGCGGTCGATCGAAACTCAGATACTCTCAGCACGCACAGGCTTGTTAGAGCGGTCATGAGCGAAATGGCATCCGGAATCGATTCGCTGAGTGCGTTGTACTGCAGGTCACTGCAGACAAGAGGTGGTGAGAGGGGGATAGATAGAGAGTTGGAACAGGGGAGCGGGCGAAAACGGATGGCGACTACACAGGAGGACGATGGAGAGGACTCATGGGTGCAAGCAGGTGAAGAGTGGGCAAGGGAGACACTGAACCGAACCGAACCAAACCAAACAGAACTGAACAGAGCCGAACCGAGTCGAGCCGAATAGGCAAGAGGAGAGGAGAGGAGAACCTTCAAGCACCGAAATTCACGACGAGGGACTCGAAGAGCGACTCAGGGAGAAGCCACACCCACCAAAACTCTCCCGAAACCCTCCCGACCCCCAAACTCTCCCTGCCTCATAAAAAACCCAAGTCTTAACACCAGCTCCTTCCCACACAAGTCATACCCATGCACCCCCCCACCCCCCTCCCCTCCCCCCCACTCCCTCCCTCCCTCCCTCCCTCCCTCCCTCCCTCCCTCCCTCCCCACCGCACATCCCAGAGTACAGGCTACAGGTGCGGCCATCTCACAGATAGGCGAGGGAAGCAAGGCCGCTGAAGGAGGCAGGGATGGGGCCGTAGAGGGAGTTGCAGCACAGGTTGCTGCCCCCACAGAGAAAGAAGGCCCGAGTGGGTGTGCGTGGGGGTTGGGGAGAGAGGGTGGGGAGGGAGGGTTAAGTGCATGAGTCGGCAGTTTTAGGATGGAGGGTCAGGAGCAGGCGAACTGGTGGGGAGGGAGGGCGAGGAGGAGAGGAGAGGAAAGGGGGGGCGGGTGAGCGAGGGAGGAGGATCGAGAACGGGAGGTTTCGCGACAACGGCAACAGATAGAGAGAGAGATAGTGGTGAGACTAGGGGAGTGGTAAGGAGAGACTAGGGGAGGGGCAGCAGGGGAGGGGCAGCAAGGGTGGGGCAGCAGGGGTGGGGCAGAAGGGGTGGGGGGAGAAGAATACAGTGGAGCAGTGCAGAGAAATGTAGAGTGGAAGAAAGGGGTTGAAAGGGATGAGAGTGGTGAGCTATACAGAACAGCTGAAGGATCGACTTGGCGGGGTGAAAAAGGCGTACAGAGCGGTGAGAGAGGTGAGAGTGCCAAGGGCTGTTGGGATGGAGCCGACTAGACCTCTGCCGTCCAACCACCTGATGTGTTGCTTTGAGTTGCACACACACACACACATGCACGGAAGCAGAAAGTGAGACACAGTCACAGCACGCTGGCAGCAGCTCACTGACCCACATCCCTCTTTCCACCGCCCCTCCCTCCATCGCCTCCACAACCCCAACGCTGCCCCCCCACTCCACCCCTTAACTTCCCCTCCCACCCTCTCCCCCACCTCCCCCCGCCCCCCCCCCTCATCGCACATGGCGGTGACGAGCCCCGCGCCGTCGCAGGAGATGAACTGCGCCGTGTTGCACTCACCCCCCACCCGCCACCCCCTGAACGTGCGGCCCCATGCTGCTGCGCACTCCACCAGCACCGCCGCTGCATGTGACAAGGGGTAAAGGGGGCGAGGAAAGGGGGGAGACAAGACGAGGTGTAGCGATGAGGAGGATGAGACCTTGGGCGTCGTCGATGCGAGTGGCGACAGCAGGGGACGGCAGGAGCAGGAGAAGCACCAGCCACGCTGCAGCCAGGAGCCGCAGGAGCGACAGTGACGGCGGCAGAGGGAAGGAGCAGCCACGACGGTTTCCCATGACTCCAGCTCTTGAAGGAAGGATGGCAGGCTGGCAGGCAGTCTAGACGAACTGAGGCAGTCAAGCAGAGGCGGACGTTCCTCGCAGTGATTGGAGTGGTCGGCGGGACTGAAGACGGGTGCGGACTAGGGAGCCTGGTGACGCGGCACGCCTACTGTTCTTCTCAACCAGCGGCGATTCGAGACGGTTTGCACTCGTAGCGTTGAGTTGGTGGAGCGTTAAACCTGGAAGTCACATTCTTAGCAAGACCTGAAAACGCTGAAGACTCCTTCGACCGGCACGTTTTACTCTAATCTCGATACCGGACGGGGGGGTAGGGGGAGGAAGGGGGGGGGGGGGGGGGGGGGGCTCTCGAGGGGGTGGTGGGTTCGCAGAGACCAACTCGCTGGCCGATTCTTGCGCTTGTGCGGTAAGGTTTCACAAGGTCCTTTCCTCGAACAGGCTCTAAATCAAAGATGGCAGCGCTTGCGCCACCATAATTAGCGAATCCGAAAAACTTCGCCGCGCGTGCGCGGGGATCACATGACACGCGTGGAGCCGCGGCCATGACTCGGCGCGGGCCCCCGTTGCCTACGACAGCGGGGCTCGCCGGACGGCGCTGCTCTCCCACGATGGAATAAAAAGAATTGGCTCGTCAGAAAAGTTGCCAACGAGAGACATGGCCGAGAGTAAGCCTTACTCTCGGGCCGACGCGAGTCAGGCCGATGCGAGCCAGGTGCCATTTATGCGGCGAGCTTCCCTTTCATGGGGACAGCTCGAAACACCTCATGGCCGTGTCGGCGAGATGACTGTCGAGGCATGTTGGCGTGACGATGGCACACAACAGCGGGAAACGGGAGCAGATGCTACTGCAGTAAAAAACGTCCAGTTCAGGTCGACACGACACATGTCTCCCTCTCCCTCTTTCTCTCTCTTTCTTGTGCATGAGGTCAGTCCCTGTGCGCATGCGCTCCATCCCATACACACTGACTAGATTCGAGGCCGCATTCGTCAGCTGAGCTGCGAGATGCACGAGCTAAAAAGCCGACCAAAATACTGTAGCGTGATGGATGGAGCCGCAGCAGTTGGTACAGACGATGCCCAACTTTATCGCAGCTCAACCTGGCGCCCAATCAGAATCGTTTCCCAAAACCCCCTATATACGGGCAATGGGAGATCCGTTTGAGTCACTCATGGTTGCGTCTGCGACCAACATATAGCAAGGGACAAGTCGTTGCCGACGAAGTTTCGTCGCCACGGAACTGTGCACTGCCATTGCCTGATCGCTTTACAAGAGTCGCACACTAGCAACAAACATCGCCACACAAGCCCCCCTCACAAATACCCACTCATTTCGTCGTCTGCTCGTATGAAAGCCTCTTTTGCCCATGGCAAGGGCATGCAAAATACTTTAGCGATTGAATCCCCGTCACCCTGAAATCTTGTGCGACTCTGACGAGCTTTGTCTGTAATCTCCGTCTTTGTTCGAATGGGGAATAGCATAATGGGGCAACAGTAGCAGGGCGTTGCTGGTGTGAAGTACCGTGCGGCGAGGTTAGCTTTGCACCTCCCCTTCCTAGCAGTCCACTTGGCATTATGAGACAGGCCTCTTGCTAACAGGGTAATTACCCCTAATGTCAAGAAATTAAGAGTAACTTTTCAAATGATTCCGTTTTTTTACAGTGCGATTTTTTTCCGAATTAGTCGAAATTACGGAAACAATGTCGCGCGATTCCTAAGCCTAACGAGTAATTTTTTTTCGAATCCGTATGGCCTTTACTTGTAGCAGGGCAATCTGTAGGGCGTAGCGACCGTCCGCCCCCCCTCCCCTCCCCCCCCTCCCCTCCCAGCTCCAATCCCGCCTTTGATCACTTGCCAGCCGAATTTGTAGCGGCCGATTTTTTTCGGTAACGGGTTTTTTTTGTAGAATTCCGTCTGTTAACAGGTGATCCTGAGGCGATTCCGTCCTATTCCGGAATACCCTGGGGCTTAGCGAGAGGCATGTTATGAGGCATGTCGACCAGTGGAGATTGGCTGTAAGGAATTACAATTCCTTGCTGCACTAAATTACAGTGCGTACACCCGAAGACCTCGACCTCACAGGTTAGGCCTCGATTGTCGGCCCAAACCTTCCCGAGTCGCGTTCCGACACCCTCGCCACCCTTCCGAGCCACCTCACGTCTCGAGGTTCTCGCCCTAGCATGCACGAGCCATATTTTAGCCATTTTGCTCGTCACTTGCTAAACAATTATTATTCATCGGTTGTATTTCCATTATTCAATCGATCGTTCCATTCCCACTCATAACACTTGGTATTGATAACAACTTTCCTCGCGCAGTAGCTTCCGTCTGCCCGAGAATTTTCTTGGGGGGGGGGGGGAGGGAGGAAGGATGGCTGGTGGCCCGCGGGGTTGCAGACTAGTGGTTCAGAGCTAATTGGTTAGCTTGTCCGACTAAGGCATGTGCTCTCCCTTCGTCACCAGAGCCCTGCCTTTGACGGCCTGGATTGGTCGGGTCCTCCCTTCCCCAAGGAACGGACAGCTGTGGCTGTCACGGCATTTATTCACTACGTGAGTTGGTGAATAGTGTATTTTACTTCGGTGGTTTTTTTGTGACAAACATGCATCGTCGGCAGCACCTGACAAGATTCTAAAGTGAGTTCGTCGGGCAGATGCGACAAAGGTTGAAGAAGAAGAAGAAAAAAAAACGAGCCTTCATGTCGCGCGGCAACCTCAAGGAAACACCAGGGAATTGTGGCTGCCAGGAGTACGCGGGATAAAGCGCAAAGGGCGCATGTGACACCCTGTTCATTGCTCCGGTATTTCCGGCAGGAGATTTATGGGAAGAAAACAGCGCGCGTGCCAACTTCCGAAAAAATAGGATCTTGCAACCCTCGGCTAAATGATTGGATTTCAGCGGCTATGGAGATCGTCAACGACAAAATCGTCATCAATTGGCAGCCGAACTTCACGGAGGGCCGCCGATTCTATTCTCCCACGCCGAGCAGAGTTTTCACCTAACTGGAGGGGAAACTCATGTTCGAGGAAACGACCATTGCCACTGAAGGAAACAGGGAATACGAGCGCAACTGCAGAGTTTCTATAGTTTATGGAGCAGCATCAATGTGTCCCCCTGAGTCACCGAGTGGAAGCGGCTTTTGAAACCTAGCGGAAGATGGACGGCGGCGGCCGAGGACCCAGTGGAAACAGCTTTGCCGTGAGTCAGTAGCGGAATCGGCCACCTACTGACGGGGTTCTTTGCCAACCGTTCGAAGTCCCCCACCTGGTTGGGACAACTTTAAGGTCACATGCTCTAGGCTGAAAAAGGGGGGAGTATGCCATATTCGTCTTGTGCTGGCAAAGGTGCGACAGTGGAGTGCTACAAAAAAAAATGAGTGGTAATTCCTGGTATTAGAGGGGATTTGTACGGCGGCGCAGCAGTTGGCTGGGAGTTAATATTTTAGCTCCACCGACTAAAGGCGTGCGCGCTAGCTTTTGCTCCGTCCTGACCCGTAATACGGTTTTACAACTGTTTACTTACCGACAAAAGCGGGAAGTTGGGTGAACGACGACCTCCCGAAAATGTCAGAGAAGCCGTGAAGAAATATTCGAAGTCGACACTGTTGCAGCTGGAGCTCGACACTGTATCCAAAGTTTTCGGAGTGCAGCTAAGCGAAGGGAGTTGTCATAGATTTACACGGGCTACTACCACGCACGATAATGCCTAGGACTTGTTTGGTGTCATGGCGAGCGCAAAGATGGGTGAACGTCGGCGCGTTGCAAAAACGCCCAGTACCAGACGGAGAATTCTTCGAAAACCAGCGGCGCAGCTGTTAAGCACCTGAAGTTTGGGGGTGCCTGAGTAGCAACGAAGCAGCGGCTTTGGGTAATCTGCAGCAGCCGTGAGATGGGTGAACGTTTGCACGGCAAGCTGGTCAGGGGAACCAGGGTATTTTATGAGTTTGGGTTACATATGTGAGGAGATCGACGGCTTATGATGCTCGCCAGCTATGATCGACGGCCGAAGACCCATGCCCAGGCGGTGAACGACGAGTACCCTAGATTCAAGGGTTCAGTTAACGCCTACAACTGGTGACGGACCGATGGGGGTGCAGCTAAAGGACGGCGCGTCAGTGTTTTATGGGTAGCTGCGAAGCATGTGCATCTGTGAAGCGGAGTTGTGGTATCTTGTTAAGTTACGGGAGCAGTTCCGACAATGTGCTGGAAGAAACAGTGAAGCAATTCAAGGGGTAAGAGCGACATCATCCGATTTTTGTGGAGTAGTTTGGCTTCATGGAACGCGAAGGAGCAGGAACTGTTTTGGCTCTTTCCAAAATTTTCGGCATGTACGGACAAAACGGAGTTGCACTCTTGTGAACCTTGGGTTCGGCTCGAGGGTGTTAACTAGATCGGGTCAGGACAGGTCATTTTCCATCGCCATCGTCGTCAACCTCTCGCCAACACCCGCTACTGCCTCCATCGTCAATTCGCCGACCTTCATTCGCTATATAGAACACGACCCCACCATCCGCTTGGAGCAGTATCGAATCGACAAGATTTGGCAGCAGTACTGTTGGAGCTGTGTTGGGGCCAGCTCGCAAGCAGTTGTGAGTTATTTATGGAGCAATAGTTGCTGATTTTCAAGACTTCAGAAGCGGATTTGAGAGTTCTACCCGTTGGAGTTTCATTGACCTCTTCGAAGCTGAGTTTTACCAGAGTTTATGTCGCACTTGGGGTGTTTCACGAGTACCCGGAAGCAGTGGGCTACCTGGGAGTTTTACCTGATCTCCTGGGAGCTGTTTTCTTCTTGAAGGGGGGGAGAAGTGCAGCTGTGATGCATTCGTCCTCTTTGCATTTTTCGGATTCACCTGCCCAATTCGGTCAGCCGAATAATCGATTGCGATCGTTTCGACAACTTTCAGCCATTCGATCACTATTCAAGAGTAACGGCCCCAATTACTTTTGACATCTCAAGACAAGCGTCATGATGACAAGCGTGCGGTCATGCCACGTTCTACAGTACAAGCCATCGGCAATACCCCGCCAAATAAAAGTAATCGTCAGCCGTTCGATCTGGAGATATCCATCAGATCGACCTTGACAGTTTCGCCACCGACATTGCTGACTCGTGATAATCGCTCAATGGTCAAGATAGCTCTCGACCAATTTCAGCCGTCGGATTTGGATGCCCAAGACACGTCAGACAGCGTAATCATTATGCTCGTCAGAAGATTTCAAGACCTAAAGTCACACTCGCAATTGGACTATTAATCCATCGGAGTATTGCCTCTAGAGTAGAGATGGCTTATTTAGAAGGTGGGAGAGTGTAAGGAATTACAATTCCTTACTGCGCTAAATTACATAGCGTACACCCGAAGACCTTGACCTCGTAGGTTTGGCCTCGATTGTCGGCCCAAACCTTCTCGAGTCGCTTCTCGACACCCTCGCCACCCTTCCGAGCCACCTCACGTCGAGAGGTTCTCGCCCTTGCACGTACGAGCCCTATTTTAGCCAGTTTGCTCATCACTTGCTAATCAATTATTATTCCTCGGTTGTATTTCCATTTTTCAGTCGATCATTCCATTCCCACTCATAACATTGGCTTTGAGGTCGTAACCAGTTACAGGCATGCAGCAAAATATGAATGGAACTGCCGAGTTGCGCGGAGGGCAATAGCGAAACTATGAACAAGTGAATGACAAGAAAATGAAAGGCAATACAATATATAGGAAACCTAGGCTAATCTTAACCACGAGATGCACAGGTTCGGAGAAAGCATCCGAGGACGTAGAGCGCTTCGGAAGTCGGAATGACGCGGAAAAGGTTTGGCGTACGCGCTAACAGTGCGCCACAGTAAGAAATTACTAAT